GCCGCCCCGGCCGCCCCGGCCTCCGCGGTCCTAGAGCCTGCCCTGTAGGGCACGTCCGCAGCCCCGCTCGGCTGCGGGTTCGCCCTGCCCCTAGGTCGCCGTGGGGCCGGCGTACCCTGCGCTCGCCGCCCGCCTCTGACCCAGCCCTCACGCATGTTCACTTCTTCAAATCTGGCCCTCTTTGAAAAAAGTTTGGACACCCCTGCCGTAGAGGAACTAAAAATCGAATGGGCTACGGAGACTGAACTCGCTTCTTGCCCCTTGAAGTGATCCCCCTCCAGGGCAGGGCTGAGGGACACTGGCAGGCCCTAGTGAGACAGTGTTCCCCGCTGCTGCCCGCGCTGGGCCTAGCCACAGTGCTGAGCCCCCAGAGCTGGTGAGCCCATCTGCACGGTGGAGCGGAGGAGATCAGAGTCTGGGTCCCAAGCTCATTGATTCTCCATCAGCTGAGCCCCCAGAGCTGGTGAGCCCATCTGCACGGTGGAGCGGAGGAGATCAGAGTCTGGGTCCCAAGCTCATTGATTCTCCATCACTCCTGACCGGCCAGAGGAGGGCGCTCGTACTTCACGAATAGCTAGCGATGCAGGGAGAGAGACACAGCGCTCCTCTCTCCGCTCCAGCTCTGCCTCGCTACAACAGGTTCGCCCAGGGGTGAGCAATAAAATGGCAGTTCGTCAGGGTTATCCCCTGGCAGGCCCCCCCTACTATCAGGGAGGTAAAAATCTGTTTAATTAGTTAACCAGTTAACCATTACGTTTAACCGGTCATCCAATGAAAAGGAGCCAGTGGAGGGAGAGGGTCAGGGCTGCTCCACCTGGGCTGGAGAAGCCCCCAGCCAATGGCAGGGGGGGGGGGGCTCCACCCCCCCCCCGGTAACCAGGGTAAGGCTTGCCGGTTAACCGGTTAAACATTCACATCGCTAGGTGCTATATTTTCTTGCGCCTCTGCAGGTACAGGCGACTGCAGCTCCCATTGGCCGCAGATCGCCATTCTTGGCCAATGGGAGCTGCGGGAAGTGGCGTGCACCAGGACACCACTTCCTGCAGCTCCCGTTAACCAGGAACAGCGATCTGCGGCCAACAGGCGATGTAATTGCTCGTATATGTATTATGCAGGTACATATAGTGGCAGGGGCCTGAAGGGGTAACCCTAAGGAACCGGATCCCTGAGTCAGACATATATTTGTCAAGGACGGTCTAAGTCAAGGCTATTCAACATGCGGCCCGCAGCCTGTTTGTGGTCCGCGGTGCAGTTTAGGCTTATGCAGGGCTCAACATGCAGCCCACGAGTAGGATCCTTTGAACATGGCCTCCACTGGGAACACGCTCCACAACAGCGAGTCAATAGAACGGTCTTCTGTTGAGACGCGTTTTAGTAGTTAAATTCCTGGGCTGTCATTGCTCATTCAAAGTGCTGTCGTGTGGGTGGAATCGGGTCAATAGTGCATTTTATTAATATCAGCAGAACTGACTTGCTTGGGGCCTGCGTGTGGCGTAGTGTTGCCTTAATCTTTGTATTCATGCCCGTCAGCGTGAAGGAAGCTATTTGCATATATTTGCATGAATACTTGCATGTACATGCAATCACACTTAAGTTGTGGCCCTCGGCATGTGCTGTGATTGTCACTGTGGCCCCCGGAGCTTCCAAAATCGAGTAGCCCCGGTCTAAGTTCACTTGGCCCTGCCTTAGCGCCTCTCAATTTCTCTTCCAGCCTGACACTTGAATGGTTCTGTGATTCGACCCTTTGTGGGGCTCCTCTGACAGCAGCCATCTGCTTCGTGTTACCTTGTACAGCTTAGCCAGCTTTCTATTGGATGCGTCAGCTTTCACGTCCTCATCAGAGACTCCTTCTGGCAGATCGGGCTTCGGTCCCAGAACCTGGGAGAGAGGAAAACAATTGCTAGCTGCGAGCATCGATCCAAGAGAGCCACTGCTCCCCCAGATGCTCGGACCGCAAAAAAAAAAAAAAAAAAAAAGCAAAACCCCGCAGAGGTGAATAACAATGAAGTTTTGTATTTATTTAATATACCTCCTTTCTTTTAAAGAGATCCCATAGAATTTTAGGCTGGAGAAACTCCCACAGGATTTAAGAACCATCTCAAACATTGCCATGCTCTACACACAAGAGAAAATTGTGGGTCGACAACATCCAAATTGATACGTTCCGATCTCCAAACCTGGCTTTAACATTCACTGTTTTCTTGTCCTTTGCATAAGAGAATTATGCACTTCGGTAGCCCCTTCCCCCGAGGCTCTCAAAGCACTTCACACACATTAAGTATGCAGGAACCAGGGGAAACCGAGGCACGGAAAGGCCATATGACCTGCCGAAAGCCACACAGCATGTCAGTGGCAAGGCCAGATGTAGAGCCCGATACCGCGACTCACAAGCCTGTTCTGTAGCCATGTTACAGCGTTTCTCCTGCTGATCGTAGATGGGCAGACACATCCTGGATTGCCCACGTGCATGCGAGCCGCCCTTTCACCCGCAGCCCACACTGGCCACCCCGCAGCTCACTGCCCAGGGAGGCCTTTGCTCTGCGGTTCAGTGAAACACAAGGAAAGAGACCTGCAGCATCTGCTCCCGCTCTGACCCTTCCTCTATCACGTAGACTTTGCCACGGCCGCTCCGCTCGTTATCCCGGATTCCCTTGGCCATCTGGGTGGCTTTCAGCCGCTCGAAGCGATTGCTCTTGGCGCCACACCACTGGTGGATGTCCTGTGGGGCAGAAAGAGAACGGGATTTCAGAGTGCCCCACGCCGGGAACACAGGGCTTCTTTAGAACGCGCCCACGGAGGGGTCAGCAGGCCTGCGCGATGCAGTGGCAGCATATTAGGACCACATCCTGGCGGCAGGGGAGTGCTTGGGAAGCATGGATCTAGGGGGCCGGGGTCCCACAGCTCATCCGACCAGGAAAACACGGCTCACTTTCCAGCCAGGCAAGCAGAGAGCGAATAGATCAGCGGAACGGTGTGTGAAACCACGGTGACCTGAGGTAGCCTGGCACCGCTTCACACAGAAGAGGACGAAGAACGAACGGTTTCGCCCAGACCTCCCCCATTCCCCGAAGGTTCGGCACGCGGGAGTTGAACTCGCGGACTTACGCTGCCCAGATCCAGGATGAAACAGTCTCCGTTGTTGAAACTGTCCCAGCTCACCGGGACCTCGGTAGCTCGAACCACTCGCCTGCCTTTGATCTGAAGGAGCCTTTGGACGGTCACCTCATTGGGAACCACGTGCTTGAAGCCAGAAGCCACCCCACCAGCCTAGAAGAACAAAGACGATGGCGACACTGTTCGATGTTGGGTCGATGTCAGAGGCCCACACTTCCCAAAGGCAAGGGGTCACCTGCGGCAGCCTCAGAGGGCAAGCCAGGCCCCCATCTCTGTCTCACTACAGGCTGAACCTCTCTAGTCCAGCACCCTCAGGACTTAACGGATGCCAAAGCCGACAACTTACCAAACCACGGAAGGCCAATGTTGTCTAGCAGCATTTCTAGCACCTCCACTGCTTCTTGGACCTCTCGGGGTCAATTAGAGCTAAATAACAGCACCGAACACTGAGAGCCAGGACTGCAAACCCACTTTATGGGATGGCAGGAAACTTGGCCACGCCCATGCTAAGTGGAGATCCGGCTAACTAACGTCATGCCAGACAATGGATGTTTCCAGACCGGAGAGTGCCGGACTAGAGAGGTTCAACCTGTACATCAATTATCATCCCCATCTCATATGCAGGGAAATGGGTGCAAAGGATTCTGGGACACACCCAAGAGGTGTGCCGCACGCCTCTGACTATGAATATAAAGGGGGTGAGCAGGAAGTGGAAGAAGCCTGGGGTGTGTTGGTCTTTCTATCGCACAGCGTGTATGAGGTACCAGCCATGCCCCTTTGCCCGTTCCCCGTTACCCATCGCCCCCCATTCACTCTCGCTGCGGCTAAGAGAAAGAGCAAACAAAGCACAGAGTGAATTCAAACAAGAGACCGTATCAGGGCAGAGCTGGGAATAGGACTCACACTTCCCGACCACCCCGCCCCTTGCTCTAACCACTGAAATACGCTGCCCCTCTTTGAACAGTCTGTTTCTGGACAACTGCCTATCGCCCAGTTTTTCACTCTCCATACAGGAAGAGAAAACTCATTCTCTTTTTTTTTGGGGGGGGGGGGTTGTTATCTGCCATTTTCATAGCTTTTGTCCAAGGGGAGGTTCAAAACATTCTCAAAAGTGAGGTGTCCACAGATTAAAGATCTCAATCTGGTAGGCACTTTGGTACTATTCTGGGACAATTTAGGCAGTAGGTTCATTCAGCCATTCCCCCAAAGTGAAACCAAATTAAAACGAGAAGGGAATGGAAAATGCCAGGTTATGAATAAGGAAACAAAAGGATTGCAGGATCGTTGGGACTGGTCCTGCCTAGAGCGGGGGCTGGACTTGATGACCTTCTAAGGTCTCTTGCAGCTCTATGGTTCTATGATTCTATGAAAATCCCGGGGAAAAGGCCGTGGGGCACAGAACTTTGCTGTGTTTGTGCCGGTGTAAAGCCAATGTAGGTAACTATTCCTGGACAGTCTAATTCCTCCCCCTTGTGTCCACCATTCTGCAATCCTGCGGAGAAATGACTCCCTGATGCTGTCCCTCACCTCCCGAATATAATGGATGATAGCTGCCCGGAGAGCAGGGAGAAGAAATGTGGCAGGCATAGAAACAGAGATAATGGAAAGACCATGGGAGGTAGGTACGTGGGGATGGAGACAATCATAGGGCAAGGAATTTGCCATTAACTCAGATTTCTATTGCAGACAGCTCCCTTCTTTGAAGAAAAACAAAACCCTACAATGTGGGGCTTTCATGTCTGTCTCATTGAATCCACCCAGGCTCTCTTGCTGAGGGCAGCTGTTCTGCATCCTGCCCATTTTAGAGCTCTGAAAACATCCGGTGAGGGATGTATTCCCCGTGCTCAACAATTTTGACTTCCCCTCAGTGACACGGGCAGGCGGGGACTCCAGCGAATCCGATTCAGACCCGCTCAGTGGATGTCCTGCAATTACATACTTTGTACTTCAGGCCGGATTTGAAGTATCCCAGGAAAGTCGAAGACTCGTGCCCCTGCACCTCCCGATGCTGGATAGCCTTCCCCTGGAGATAGTCGTCCAGCTGGACAGTGAATATGGCAGCTGCACCGCTTTCATCCTGGCTACAGAAATCCCCTAGAAATCAAAGGAAGACCAGGCAGAGTGAAGGGAAGGCCTGTGGAAAGACTAAGTCCCTGAAGGGCTAGTTTCCTGGAAAACCTCTACAGCTAGGTATTTGATTACAGTCAGGGAAAGGGCTCAGTTTCTTTCCTTCTGACATTTTCCCTTTCCCTGGGAGAAAGCCAGGCAAGGACTGACCCTCAGAATCTCACTTTCTCCATCTGTACAAACAGCAACCGCGACCCATATCTCCTTCATAAAGCGCTTTGAGATCAGTGGATGAGAAGTTCCGGATAAGAGCTTGGTGTTACTGTAACGCTGGCCAACCCTGGTTATCTGAGGGTGGAATCAAACCTGGGACCTGGGGAGCTTAGTGCATGAGCCTCTACCACTTGAGCTAAAAGCCAGCTGGCTCTGAGCAAAGCCTGTAGAGCAAACTCATTATTCTCTCTGAGCGTGGTCTCAGTGCCACTAGATGGGACAGTGCGCCCCACTCAGCAGGTGTGTGGGTTACACTAGCTCAGCAGGTGTGTGGGTTACACAACTACCACTGACAGCCTGGCCAGTTGTTGGCAAGAAGGTGCGTCCACTCTGCCCAACAGCCAGGAAATCTAGCAGACCCTTAACGTGGCACTTGGGTATCAGCAGCCTGGCTCTGCAGACTGTCGGGAACCCTTGAGAATTCGGGGGATCTGGTATGGCTACAACACAACTACGACAATGCACTGAACTAAAGCCCCATTTACCGTTAGCAGACTACACTGTTTGATAGCACCCCAGGGCTGCCGGGAGCGGGGGGTATTTTGTATGAGAACTCAACAGAGGTCCTGTCTGCTCTACGCGGGCAGTAAAGATCCCAGGACACTGCACAAAAGCATAAGGATTTGTTGCAGCGTCTGAACAAAATTTTCACTTCTTCTGATGGAGCAAGGGTGTGATTAGTTGCAGCTCTCCACCCCAGAACTGGCTGCATGTCAATTGTGCAATGTACAGAGAAAGCGCAAAACACTTTGGGATGGGAGGCACTTTGGGAACATAACAGTACGTGACCTGAACTGTGCCACTTTCGTCTTCCTTTTCCCCTGTGGCAGGACAGGTTTACCCAACAGTCCCGGACCAGCGAGAGGAAACCGGTGCAAGAATTTTCACCTCCCCGGGTTTAGCACCAGGAGCTGGAAGACCTGCCAATTTCCATGAAGACAGAGACAAGCCCATCGGACCTTACCTAACCAGAAATGCAGGTCATACTGCAGGTTCCCGCTCCGCTGTTTGACGGTGTTCAGAATCAGATACGCATCTCCGGTGAAGAAGTCTCCATACAGGTTTTTTGGCACCGGGACCAAATCAAATTTCTCAATCCGCCAGATCTGTAGGCCTGGCTCCTTTCCAGCCTTCTGAAATTCAGCGTGTTCCACCATGCTGACAGGCTGGGGGAGGGAATGAAAGAGAGAATTCTCCTAGGCATGCGCAGTACAACAAAGCTCTTGTGAAACACAGACCACGTCGGGACTCCTACTTATTGCGATTCCAAACAACGATGGGGAAGTTTCTATGGGCCCTTACACGGAAATCATCGAAGGAAAATCCCTTTTCACTTTTAGTACTTTCCATGGTCACCCACCTCCATTTCCTGACTTCCTTCCTAGCTTCTTTCTGCCTCTATTCCCTATTCTCAGATTACTTTCTCCCTATCCATTCAGCTTTGTAGTTCTTTCCTCTCCGCTGATTAGTCATTTATTTGTAGGGAGGGCAAAGGCGAAGACAAGGAAGACCCCTCTCTGTCTATTTATTCCTTTTCATAAATGTTCCATATGCTGGAAGGCTCCAGGGGAAATTATATATTGTGTTTTATAGATGTTACGTGGTTTGCAAAATCACTGTTCTATTTCCCTAAAACACGTGTGATCTATTACAGGAAAGTGCTTTGAAGCCTCCCATTGCTAGACTGGGAAAACCACAAGAGAGAACTATCTGAAGTTGGCAGGGATAGGTGACCTAGTAGGACTTTTGCATCCCTAATGTCTATGCTGCTATGGTATTATGATGCGCTATTTACTCCGGCGCTTTTGTGTGGCTTCTACGAATTACACTAATCCATCACTACGGCTGACAGCCGTTGACTCCCTTTAAATTAGCCTGTCTCTAGCAAACTCTGCAGTTCTAGCTTGCCATGGCTGCCTCTATATTATTGTTATTAAGGACAGATAACATGTCCTCACGTCTTTTGAGAAAATAAAGTTCTAGGAAGAATTCAGGATAATAACATTAAAAAGAAGTACCCCAATCCTGATGTGTTTTAGATGGAAGTGTCCCCCTTCTAGGGCAGCCTAGCTTACTTCTGAGCACTATAAACTAATAAAGGCGAAGAAGAAAGAAAGAATATTACATCATAAGCAACCAGTACTTCAACAAAGAGGAAAGTTCACAGCAGTTAATGAACAAAAATAAAAATGTATGCTCAACTCATAAGGCAGAAATACAAAAGGCTGCAGACTGGAAAGCAATATGGCAAATTAGCCGCTGAATCCACGTCTAAACTGAACCCTGACTCCAAATGCTTAATCCAGTGCTCTCTTACAGTTTCCACTCTGCCGACTGCACAGCCGCATTACTCCCAAATTCCGACCACAGACTCAGGAAAACCTTTTACAAAAGCTTAAAACTCCCCAGGAGACCACGACCTTTGCAAGTATTTTCTTAGCAGAGGAAAAGTTTGACGGTTTTTAATTACAGGCTTGGTCACTTACCACAGCTGAAAAAAGCAGAGCTGCTGTAACGAGACAGCCGAGCCCTGCAACAGATACAGAACTTGCGTAGCATAACCTCAGAGCCATTGTACAAAACACTGTGAGAAGAATGCAACTGTAGCCCTGTCTGCCCGGGACACTAGGAAGTGTGTTTAACAAGCAAAGGGGTTCTTCCCTCTTTCCCCTCCGACAGAAGAGAGGCTGAGCTGTCCCAGTTCTTTTTCTGTTTCCCTGTGAATGAAGATGTGGGGCATAGGCCGGTGTTTTATCACACACGAACACACCCAGCTCCCTCTGGAATACGAGGACGTAACATGCCTATGCACACGGTCCACTTGGAGGCTACACAGATTTATTCTGTACAGTCATTTCTGGAGGCTTAGTTCCAAAAGTCAGTAATATGGTACTCATTACAGCGGGCGGTACAATGGACAAATCAACTAAATATTTGGTCAAACGGCCAGTAACAGAGGCAGGCATCCACAGCAGAGACCAAAACTGTATCTGCTGAGCACTGGAACTAAACAGAGAGTTGATGAGGTGCAGCAGGAGAAAAGGGTTGTTCCAGATGGCAAAGCCGGCGGAGGAAAAAGAATCTCATGCCAACATCAGTGAACTGCAGAAAGGACAGAGAGTGCTGAAGGGAGCCGGCTGGCTGAGTGGAGGATGCGGACGATGTGCTCCTATTTCCCGGTACATACAGATAAGCAAAAAAAAGCAACGTTTGGCAAATGTGTTGGGTTTCTTGAACAAGGATTTAAGACTCTATCCAAGCTAGCATGAAATTGGAATGGAGCAGAGGGGTCCTAAGGAAGACAAGGGAGGTCCACTGGCAAAAGGGCCCAGACAAGATGGGAGAGCCAGAGTTAACCCGATCATTTCACACCGTACGCGTTAGGGATTTAGCATCTCTCTCGCAGCCTTTGGGCTTCCACTAAAACAGCACAGAGCTGGTGTCAAAAAGACGGGAGAACCAGGCCTGTTATCTCCTGCCACGAGGTGATCAGAGCCAGAAATGAGCCTGCTTCATCCAAGTAGCACACAAAACTAGAGGACACCAAATGAAGTTGATGGGTAGCAGGTTTAAAATTAATAAAATAAAGTTCTTCACACAGCGTGTAGTCAACCTGTGGAACTCCTTGCCAGAGGAGGCTGTGAAGGCTAGGTTTAAAGAGAAGCTAGATAATTTCATGGAGGTTAGGTCCATAAAAGGCTATTAGCCAGGGGATAGAAATGGTGTCCCTGGCCTCTGTTTGTCTGGAGAAGGATGGCAGGAGACAAATTGCTTGATCATTGTCTTCGGTCCACCCTCTCTGGGGCACCTGGTGCTGGCCACTGTCGGCAGACAGGCTGCTGGGCTACATGGACCTTTGGTCTGACCCAATGCGGCCGTTCTTATGTAAAACAATAAGTGCCCCTATAATAAGACTTCTCACGGAGTGTACCACCAGGCCGCATATATGCGTCATATATGCTAATGGATTAGCCACCCGAGGAGGATAATTGCCTACTACCACTACCACATGATAGAGTTGCTCCTAGAATTCCAAGCACTTCACTGCGGAACTAAAGGCTCGGGGTTGAAATGTTACTGAAGACCCAGGCAAAGGTTTGCTGTAGCCATGCCGTACAGTCTGTGATCATAGAATCATAGAATCATAGAATAATAGGACTGGAAGGGACCTCGAGAGGTCATCGTGTCCAGCCCCCGGCCCTCAAGGCAGGACCAAGCTCCGTCTACACCATCCCTGACAGATGTCTATCCAACCTGTTCTTAAATATCTCCAGAGAGGGAGATTCCACCACCTCCCTTGGCAATTTATTCCAATATTTGACCACCCTGACAGTTAGGAATTTTTTCCTAATGTCCAATCTAAACCTCCCCTGCTGCACTTTAAGCCCATTACTCCTTGTCCTGTCCTCAGAAACCAAGAGGAACAAATTTTCTCCTTCCTCCTTGTGACACCCTTTTAGGTATTTGAAAACCGCTATCATGTCCCCCCTTAATCTTCTTTTTTCCAAACTAAACAAGCCCAGTTCATGAAGCCTGACTTCATAGGTCATGTTCTCTAAACCTTTAATCATTCTTGTCGCTCTTCTCTGCTCCCTTTCCATGGTAGGCCTACCCTAGGAGGTCAGACAAAGAACGCTGATTGGGTGGAAATAAATCTTTGTATGTGTTTGTACTGCAGCCTGCACTTCCACTTTTAATGTATTTGGAGTGGAATTGAGTGGAATCCTCCAATTAATTACCTGACTCTCTTGGGAAACACTCACACAAAGGTCTGCTGCTCCTCCCACCCGCGCTGACGTCAGTGGCCAAACTTCTGTTTACCTCCGGGAGCAAGATCAGGGATACCCCTGACCCCCAGCATAGGAAGAATTGTGGGAGAATCGTTTTTGATGTCTGTTGTGCTAGAACATTGTGGGTTTTTTTCTAGTTTTCCAGAGCTGGTGGTCTGTGTTTGGACATTGGGCTATTAAGTATTTCAGATCTTGGCACACTCCGGTTGACAGTAAGTATCAAAACAAAATTTGCTTGGACATTCACAAATTTTAACAAAAAATAAAAACAATGTCTTCATCTGGCTGGCTTAGACGGGATTTTTTTCCCCCTCTCCCTGGGGAGGGTGCATCAACGGTCTGTAAAGCAACAAACGTTTGCTGGAATTGTAAGTGTTGGCCAAGGCAAGTTGAGCAGTGCTGGGAAGCCATCCGGGAATGGCTCTTCCAGCTGCTCCAGCTGCTGTCCACCCTACTCCAGAGGACTGAAAAACAAATTAGTAACAACAATGGAAAGAGAGACAAGTCCCTTGCAGATGGAAAGACAGCTTCAAGTACTTATTCTTAAACATTTATACAGAGCCAGAACTTTGCATGCAACTCCACCGAGACTGAGGGAAAAAATCCCGGGGTAAAGAGCCTAAGTCATTCAGGAGCCTAAATCCCATTTTCAAAAGTGACACGGGTGCTTACATCTCATAGGTTAAGGCTCCTAAGTCACTTAGGTGGGTTTGAAAATGTTACCCCCTGGTCCTGCAGAGCTTACAATGTCAATCAGACAAATGCGAAGCATGAAGGTAAACCAAGGAAAGAGGTTAAGGAAAGGAGAGTGAAACAAAAATAACATGACCAACATATTTTAGGACATCAAGTGAGAATGTGTAATATTCCAGTGACTGATCCAGCCTATTGCTACTGTCAGCAAATATAGTTATGCCTTGGCTTTTACTAAGATGGCAGAAAACTGAGTTTTGGTGCTGAAGTGTTCAAAGCATTGTTCCCTATAAGCTGTGTGCTTGTGCGGCTGCTCAGGAAAGATTCCAATGACACCCAGCTGATTAGCAGAGTTCCCGCAGCGAGGTTACTTGTTGCTAACAGTGGTGCACATCCGCACCTGTCTTGCTGCACATAACAAAACTTATTCCACACGTGGGTGGAAAAGATTAGTGGGAACAATGGCTCAAAGCCTGTTGTTGACATGTGGCAGAAGTCACCAGATGGATGAGAGAGAAGACGCCACCGGTGGAAAGCATGACAAAGAAGTGGGATGCAGATACTAGCCTGGCCCCCAGAAACATCCTCACAACTGATGCAAAGTAAAGCCAACGTCTTGCATTCCAGGAGAGCAAAGCTCCATAAATACAGGCAGAGATGCAGCCGTGATAGTCTGGAACAGC